TTGCCCCGGCTGTCCTTGGCACCGTCCTGTCTCCCCAGGAGTACAACGTGTACGGCTGGTGGGTCGGCGAGCTCAACAACGTGGTGGGCATCGTCCCCAAGGACTACCTGGTGGCCGCCTACGACCTGGAGGAGCGATGAGCGCCCGGCCGCGACGTCCCGGTGAGAGTGGAGCCCGGCCCGGCCGCGGGCGCTGAGGGCGGCTGTGCCTGGGGTGTCCCCATGTCACCGGGGTGCCCGAGCCACCAGGACTGTCTTTGGCTCCATCTTCTGGTCTCCACTTTACATGGGAGCAAGCGAGGCCAGGAGCACTGGCTGCAGCCCTAAGGGGGGGGCGTGGCAAGAGCCACCACGTCCTGGGGGTGTCGGGGGGGCGGGGACACGGTTGGCCCTGGACACTCGCAGGGAATATGGCTGTTTCCCAGTGTCCTGGGCACAAAGTGTCCCAGCCTGGGTTTCATGTCCTTCAAGATCCATGGGAGAAAGTTGTGCCAACACCTTTGCAGTTGGCTCCATTGGACACATGAAAGTCTGATGTCACCAGTGGGGACATGAGCACTGAAGCCAAATGCTGATTTTTCTCCCAAACAGCCCTTTAGGGAGGAGAGTCTTTTGGGAGATGGGGAAACCAAGGCATGGAGCAAAGCTGGGCAGGTGGAGAGGGGCTGCAGGGAGATCTCCACGGCCGCCCTCCCTCTGTGCATCCCTCCCTGCCACGTGCACGATCCCAACCTGCCCCTCCACGTCCCATTCCCACTGTCAGCCCTGTCTCTCCCCTCCCAGAATCCAGGTGCTTCCCTCTCTCCCTGCTCCCTGGCTGTACTGAGATGCTGGACCGACCTTCCCAGCCCCGGCTCCCCCTCCTGCAGGCGCCCGTCGTGCCAAGAGCCCCGTGTCCCGTCCCTTGTCACGGAGCGGCCCCCGGGGACCTTCCGCGAGGGCTCCCGTCGGTCCCACCACGGGCTGCGCTGCAGCCTCGTCCTGCCCGGCCTTGGCACCGGCTGCCGGGCTGCCGGGCC